CTCAAGAAGTCCATAATTTAGAATTGACTTGGTGAAAATGAATAATTCTGGATTTTTTTTTATTAATATTAAATCATTGTCACGTGAAATATGTGTTCAAAAGTTTCCAATTAGTAAAAGAATTTAATTAAAGATTCATTGATTAATTTAATTTTAGGTTTTCTCTTCAGTCTTCACAGATTCTTCAGTCAGTTTACAAGGAATCTTCGGTTTTCTTTACCAAAATTATTTGTTAGCCTTTCAAAATAAGATAATATTATTCATCGTCCGTTTTAAATAGCAGTATTCATTGTTCAGCACATGGATCCTTTGATAATAAATAACACTACTCTTAAAAAGGTCGACAATTATATGAATTCAATAACCTTGATTTATAATTTAGAGGAACGTGTTTGCAGTACAATTTTTCGTAGAATTAAACAAAATAAAAAATGTAACACTAATATCCTAGTAGCATTACATTATAAATACTAGCATGTGCATTATATTACCAATGTTTGTATGTCATGACACTATTTTCATGATTGTCAATACGCATATCAAATTATCAATATTATCATCAACACATAATTGCTTTCACATTAGTGTGGTTGTTAGTCTAAGTTGTCCATGCATCTGATTTGTGATAGTACATGATTGGCTCTTTACATATTATATCTTGACTAAGTTTAATCTTATCATTATTTACCTTGTTAACGAATATTTGAAGAGGTCAAAGGGGCCCATATTTATTTTCAATAAGTGCAATGGAGATATTGTATTATATATCATGTTGATTTAGTCCATATTATCAAAGAGATACTACCTAAACTTTGGTGAATCATTGTGTGATAACAATCTCCCAAGACAGTTCGTAAGTTTTTACTTGTTGCCAATAACTCAAATTTTATAGACGATCTATAAGTCCTCATATCTTGAAAATTATTTGTAAGTATTCACTTGTTCACGATGACTCATATTTTCAAAGCAATTCATAAGCCCTCTTCTAGCGACAATACATATTTTAAAATTCGACCCACATATATATGTACAACTCACACTTGAGAGATTATTATTATATCTATAAATTACGTAGTGCGTACGTGATAGAGGGGGTTTTGCATTGATTGACTCGTCATCGATTATGTCATTTGATTGGACATATTAAATCAAACAACCACTCTTTGGACTTGGGCTTGGGATCTATCCACTAACTCATATCGACACATTTCTTTTTCTCTCAATATATGTGAACCGATTTCATTCAAGGTATGTATTCTAACCCTAATCAAATTCTCTACCCATTTCTTGCACCCGTTCTCTCTTTTTCGACCCTTGATTTAACTATCAAAGTGCAAATGATCGTTGAACATTTTTCTCGATCGTTGACCCTTGCACCCTAAAAGCGTGTTTTGTGTGAAAGGGAGGTGCTCGAAATTCTATTGTCCACGCGTCTAATCGAATTTTGAAGTCAACAAAAAGTATAATCTTGTTCACAATATTTTCTTATACTATATCACACTGCTTATCATTATCACATTCTCTAAACATATAACAAAGAATCACCTCATAAAAGTGATAGCTAATTTATCGTGGTGACAATGCTGTGCATTTTTTTGTACGCGGTTAACCGATTATAGGGACACCACATGACCCGCGAGCTAAATAATTTTTATAATAGACACCCCCATTTTCAAATTTCAGAACTTTCCTACTATTTTAGTAATTTGTTTGTATAACATATTCATTTATGCCAAAATAAAATTTATATCATCAAAGACTAATAATTTATTAAAGCATAATTATATTCACACCACATTTTTCATAAATACATCACATTTTAATTACATTA